AAATTATCAAATCACATTTCACAAAAAAATTTAATCCCTTATCAAAATTTCACATTTGACAAATAATTTTGCCCCTCACATTTAAAAAATACTTTTTTTTGTCCCACATTTCATAAATAAAAATTTTAATCCCTTATGATCATGTGTACGAATAGTTTTTTCTTATTTTGAAAATTCATATATATGTCTATTGATTTCATCTAAATAGTACAAATAACGTGTAATTTATCTCTATTTGATTTCACTTGAATAAACTTATTGTAGTTGTAGGTGAAATCAAATAGAAATATATTATATGTTACTTGTACGTTTATGTGAAATTAAATAAATATATATAAGTGTTAAAAAATATTCGTATACATAATCAATTACGGATGAAAAAATTCATTTGTGAAATATGAGAGACAAAAATATTTATTTTGTGAAATGTGATGAACTATGAATTGGATTATGTGAAATTTAATTTGATAATTTTGCCCATAAATAATGATCACGTATAAGGCACGTGAAGGATTCCAACAAAAAAACTAATTGAAAACCTATGTAGGGATCAAATTTGACCAATATGAATTTGTAAGGGATATAAAATTATATTTTAAAAATGAGGAATGAAAAAGTTATTTTGCAAAATGTAATTGACGTTTTGAATGATTTTTCCTCCATATTTCCATCACTTTTTTAGATCACAACTTTAATGTATATTTCCCTATCTCACTTTAATAGTTTTATATTTTTTACATGATTTAAAAAGAATTACTTAACATTATTGGAATAATAAATCTAACCTACTATTTTTTTAAAAATCTTTATATTAATCATTGCACCTCTATATTAATTAATAATACTAATGAAAAGTTGCACCATTCAAAACATGAACAATGCAATTATTAAATAAGATAGGTTATACTTATTGATAGCAAATTAGTTAAATAAGGGGTATCTTAGAGATGCTAAAAGTTAACCATGTTTTTCAATTAGAAAGTCAACTAATTTGGGATAAATGAAAAAACAAGACTATAAAAGATGAAATGGAGAGAGTAGTAGATAGATTGATGTTAGTCTTTTTATTTATCAATTTGCCCTCAAATATTCAAATTTTGAATTTAAATACAATATGACATGTGACTGAAAGTAAGAACAATATTGAAAAAAGTGATAAAAAAAAGTAACTTTAGTTTTAATAAAATGTCAAGTATTAAGAAGTAATAGAAAAATAACTTTAATTATGCTAAGATGCCAAAAAAATAGATCTCATAACACTTTCATCCAAATGGAGACAAAATTTCCTACCGCCTAACTGGCAAAGCCCAATGATGGATCCTTAGACTCAACCACTAGCCTTTGGCCACCACCTAAGTGGGTGGCGGCGGGAGGCAAAGTTTGAACTCTTGTCTCCTACAAAAAAAAATGTCACGTTTAAGTGATTTGTTTCTAAAAAATTCAGGTGGGTGTGTTGTGCACTCATCTGATTCGGTAGTGGTTTAGTTTCTTTCGGATTATTCCTGGACCTCCTTAGATCCGCCCTCTCCCTCATAGTGTAGAATAGAATAGGTTTATCGTTTCCGAAAAAAAAAAAAAAAAGGATCCTTAAACTCGCCGATGGGGAGAACCTTGTGCCTCAGCTCCTGGCCACTAGCAATACTCAAAAACTCTTGCGTGCATGAAAGGTGCACACCAATACAAACGTTGTACAGTTTCTATTTTGTAAAAACATGCATTTAGTACACCACTTGGTGGACTTGAAGCGCCTACTTTAATTAGTACCAAATTGAATTACCACAAGTTTTATAAGAAAAAACACACTCTCCATTTCACTTTGTTAGTTTCTATTTTTTTTTTCTTTCACACGATTTAAAGAAAATTAATTATTATTATTAAAAGAGTAAATTAGCTCACATTAATATTATATGACTATGACTTTTGATTTGCCAATGTGTCTTAGCTAAATTGACTATTGTTCTACTACAATTAAATAAGGTAGGTTATGTTCATCAATAACAAAATACATTAAATAAGGGAATTTTAAAAAGTTTAAAAGTTAACTATATTTTTAATTAAAAACACTATATAATTTAGAATGGATAAAAAAGAAAAATAAATCTAACAAACTTTAAAAAGAAAAAAAATTGCATCTAAAGCCCTCCAACCGCAGAACATTTATTGTGACAATTGATAGGCATGTCAATCCAATTTAAATTTCAAGGGTTCAGAAATAACTGATAGACATGTCTGGCAAATCAAGAAAATATATATATAAAAAAAAGAAAAAGGTACACAACAATATGTGGTATTTGTTTATAATCTCGGTACACATATCAGTGGTAATTTTGGATTCAAAAGTTAGAAGTTGGGAGTTTCATTGAAATTTCATCCAATAGAATGAAAGAGTTATAAATCTCCAAAATAATATATAGAAATATCACAAATAGAACCACGGCGCCTGTCAAAGGGTTGTTTCTCATTCCGGGGCTACTTTACCATATTCCAAATTCAATGATTTTAGGGATAATTTTCAACTACCCCCCTAAAACTAAGTAGAGTGTATCAAATCTCACCCAATTCAAATGCACAAACAATTTTAAATATATACCAGGAGAGAGAAAAACACTTCATCCCACATCTGCCTTCAAGATTATCATTAGTGACTTAATTTTTGTTGAATAGTACAAACCATCTAACAACAATGAAATATGAAATTGATGGAAAAGGCAAGGTGCCTATTGCATTTTGGAAGGTAGAAGCCAATAGCTATTTGTGCACAGCTAAACCAACGATAAAGAGCAAATAATAGTTAAGTTGGTTAATCATTCGCTATTAGTTTTGCATCTAAATTGTAGTTACGTTGGTTAATCATTCGTATTACTCATTTAACTAATTATCAATGATATCATAAATAGGACCCAATAACCTGACAGGGGAGATATCTGATATTTTACAAAGTTCAGGGGAGGTGTGTGAGACTGTCAGAAACCTCTACAGTCGTCCCGGACAAGTTATCTCATGATTTTAATAAACTCCGTACAGTCGTCCCGGACAAGTTACAAGTTACAACTGTTCTAAACAATTTGTGAAGCCGTAATTCCTAGAGCCTCTCACCCCGTAATCCGTAATTGTCTTGTAGGTGCCTTTTCCATTGCGAGTAATCCGCAATTGCCTTATATGTGCCTTACCCATTCCAACATTTCTTTGACGTTATTTATCCATTGCTGTAGTATAAATATTCTGTAATATAACAGATAACCTTTTTTTTAGTACTCATTTGAAATGATATATTTTGGTCCTAACATATAAATAGTGTCAGTGATTCATAAAATGATACATAATTGAATTACTAATTCTATATCATCTCATGCTTGATTGCGTATTATACATAAAATGATACATCTTGCCTAACTGAATTAATTTTTTGTATAAGAGATGAAATAATCCCATGGAGGATTCGTTTGAGTTGTGTTTTAAAATGTACCAGGTCTTCTCAATACGCCAAATACGACATTGGAAATGAGGTGCCATCGTCATTAGTGTTTAATTAAGTTAGCCGGCAAATCCTCCCTAAACAAGTAAGGATGCATGGTATGGTCTGTTCTGATGAAAGTGATGACAAAGGCATTATCATGTTCAGCCTGAGAAGCTGGTGAGATAACCAAAGCAAAAGCAGAGCGAGAGCAGGAACTAGGATTAAACCACTGAGCTTTGTCTAAAAGGCCACCAAAGTCCATTTTTGGACTGTAAATCGACGGTTTAAACGCCATCTGTAGTGAAAAAATCAAAAAAATTGTGTCAGAACACCCTTTTAATTTAGTCAGATTCTTATACACACTAATCCTTTATATATAGTCTCTTTAAACTCCACTTCCTCTAGATTAAAATGAATTAGATTATAAAAATGGTGTTGCTTTAAAAAAAAAAAAAAAAAAAACTAGGATTAGGAAGCAGCAGTCCCAAGGAGTGAATGGAGGAAAGAGGCTACACAATGGACACATCAGATGCGTCAAACCCGGGAATCGAGGTGGGCTAGGGAGGGATGCCCGGAGGTAGGGGTGGCAATTCCTGACACGACCCGAAAACACGACACGAACCTAACACGAAATTAATTGGTTTGGGTTGAGGTTTCGAGAGTTCGGGTCAGAATCGGATCGAACCCCGATGATCCCGAAAAGAAAACATGTCAATTTCGGGTCAACCCGTGGTGACCTGATATGACCTGATGTGACATGTTTATGAATTAAAACTAATTTAATAAACATAAAAATTATTTTATCTAACTAAACTAAATCATTTTTTTTCCAAAGGCATTAATTACTTAATCCTAAATGAATTTATTTAACTTGTGTGAAGTTAAAATTATTATATTTGGACAAATAATATATTATGTTATTTTTTACTTTTATGCTGTTTAATTTATTTTATATTTGATTTGGGATAAAACACTTTTATGGTGTTTAATTTATTTTACATTTGGTTTGAAATTATTTATTTAAATTTTTATTATTTGATGATGTAATTAATTTTGTGAAAAATTGATTTTATTAGAAATTACAGTGATAAATTAATAAATTAAAATTAAGTTTCGGATCATTTCGGGTCGACCCGCCAACCCGAAATTTTCGGGTTCGTGTCAGGTACCCTGACCCGTTTCGAATTGACGGGTCGAGTTCGGGTCAGCAGATTCTTTGTTATACTTAAGCATTAACCCGACCCGCCAACCCGACCCCGACCCGATTGCCACCCCTACCCGGAGGTGATTGGAGAGGTTTCAACGTGAACCTGTAAATTGCAAACTTTGGGCTGTGATACATGTTCTGATGTGAACTGCGGGCTTTGATGCAAGGTCTGAGGCTGACACGGGAGCTGGGTTACGGAAGGTGAAGCTAATTCACAGGTGGATTGACACTGGTGAGAGATCCACCAGACGAAATCTCAGAGCTCCTGAAGAGGAGCTAATCCCAGCTAAGGGGCGGAGGCCCCTTAATAGGACCAAAAAGAAAAGAAAAGTATAAACTAACAAGAGCAATCTTGAACAGGATATATTATATACATTATGCAAAGCACTGGAAATTAGATACAAGGTCAATGAAGCAATGCATCAACAGCAAATAAAATGTTAACAGTTCAGGAAAATGGCTATGGGAACTTCTAGCCATAAAACCTCCACGCTGCTAGTCTTGAAGATGGCGACCTGCGCAATGAAGAGATTGTTAAAGTAGAAAAGCTGTCCGAGTCATTGGTTTAGAATTTGCATGGTAAGGCCGCTCAATGATTTTTCCTTTTCATCCAACAAACTTTGGTATCTTTCTTTCGTTTCTTTGAACTTCTTCTTTACTTCTCCGAGTGTTCTCTGTTCTGCTTTGAGCTGATAATTTGTCTCTCTTAGCTCTTGCTTCTTAGCTTCAATCTCCTTTAGAACTTCCACTTTCTTGTGAGAAAAGTACCTCTGGCTATCTAGTGGAAGTACTGGAAACTTAACATCCGGTTCCCTGGGAGAGTAAAAGAAAACATTGAAGCATGCATGTTATTCTTCTTCCAAGAGTCATTAAAATTGTAGGAAAATTTCTGACAGTAATCATACAAAACTGACACCTGCTGCACCCAAAAAAGAACAAAAAGAAAGAAGTTTATGAGTTGTTGCAGTGAATGAGCTGGGCTTTTAGGTTGTGATGTTAGCAACTATTTGAGAAAATGCTTCAGCACAAGAAATATGGATAATGTAATTTCAGCTAAATACTGAAATGCGCTTTCTGCTTATGGTCCACTAATTCAATTCTTTGCCGTAACGCTTAATAGAGTAACTGAATGAAATGACGAAATACTGTAAGCATACCAGTGTCCAAGGGATATAACTCCATTTCCTCGGAGTATTCCACCATCTAGTGACACTGCACCATCTTTTATACAACAGCTTGCCATGTTCATGCACTGCCTGTTTTCATAGACCTGCAGTTCACCAAACAGGCGATAAAATAATGTCTCCCGGAGACCATGACCTGAAGCAGTCCTCCAAAACCAGAAGTTCACGTCAAGTTCTATCATATTAATGGCATAACCCAAAAACCCTGGTGGAGCTTTCCATTTGGTAAGGTAGGTTCTGGCAACGAAAGGTATCTTTGAGGACCACTAAAAATCCCCCGCATATGGCCTGCCAAAGAAACCGCAAACTCAAATTCTTAATAAATAGGAGTCACTTCTGTGAACGTAGAAATTCCTTTAAAAAATATGTCCTCATGAAAAGTCAACCATATAAAGAAACTTTTATCCATCATACACGGTAAGATAATTTGCATTTAATACTTTTTGGTGTTCAAGAAATCAGACAGATTATCAGCAGCACCTTATGTTTTCAACGCATAAGACATGGTATTGTCTGTTTATAGATATCCCAAGTTTCGTCGCAAGCTCATGAAGACCGTAGGCATTATTCACTCGTCCATCAGGGTCATGCTTCTCAAGATATGCTGCATCTGCATAGGATTTGCAGACTATAGCAAGCATTTGATGTTCACCAAGATACTGTGCAAATATCCTACATCAAATAAACAAAACAAAACTCACTCATTCTTTCTTAAATCGTACTAGCATCTAATTTCAGCTAAACACTAAAACGTGCTTTCTGATTCTGGTCCACCAAGTGGGGACTATAAAGTGAAAACACAAGGGTGTACCTGCTAAGATCATGGGTTTGAACCATTCCTAGAAGTGCAACACGCCTAGAACTTTGTCTGCAAAATCAATTCCCTTCTCTTTATAAGTCACCGATTGGAATAATCTGCAGATAACAGCAGCTGCAGAATCACCCCTGCAAACAATCTGTTCTGCAACTAACTTTTTCCCAGCTGTGCGCTCCAAATCATGGAGGTCAAGATACGGAGAGCCTGCAAAAAAATACAATCCAAAAAGAGTGTAAAACTTTGTTTTGTATACTTGCAGAAGTCCATATAAGAGCACATCTACAGAAACACCTTCATCATATAAACTCTGTTTTCTGTTCGCTTTCAATATATATTCACTCCTCAATTTCACTATAGTTCCCTGCAGATACTCCCTACTTCGAATAGAACCAAGTTCACAGCATTAATCAAAGGCCAAAATGTTTCGACTATTTTGCAGAGACAATCCAATAACCTTACAGGTGAGCACAGTTCCATGGGCCAGTGCAGCTTCCCATTCACAATCTTTCTCATTTTCATCCACCCAAAAGCATTATTTATGATGATATTTTGCAAATTTTTAATATATAGGGCCTACTAAGAACAAAGAGGCTCCTGTTTTCTAGATAAGCAATATTGGATTGTGGTTTTGAGATTATAAGAGGACTATCATATTAGAATAATTGCAAACAATCTCATATTTGAACTTATTTAACTTGTGAATTTTAACAATTAAACAACAACAGTCATGCTAACTAGACAACATTGAGACTCCAGAAACTTTTAATGGGGACCATGGACTTCACAATACTTGTAGCATTTCTCCAACCAGTTTCGCTATAAAACCTCATTGACCTATATTTTCTTTTTAGGAATCAAATTTAGAATCAACCCAAAACAAATTTTGTGTGCAAGTCTATTCTATGACACTTATACTGCATGAACTTAACCAGACAATTGCTATAGCCTAAAATCATTGTAGATCAAGAGATGTGTTGAAACTATGAAAGATTTCCTAACTGGACTGATGCTCAAATAAATAACATATAGGTTAAATCTGTTCTGTCAGTGCAAGAGGAACACCATTCATCCATAATTTGCATACATGCAAAATTTAAAGTAGAAAACACATAAAAAATGGTCTAATGAAAACCTTGCAAGTTGGACATGTCTGCTCAATATCTGACAGCTGAAGATTGAGTGATTCTATACTCATTTCCCGTTGTTTGATGCATAAACCATACTGGCAAAGCTCATCCCAAAGCTCCTGTGGCCTCAGAGACATTAAAGCTCAGACAAAAGTAAGCTGGCCTCGTAAACAAGAAACATCTCTTCCTCTCTTTACGAGCTGGGTTTCTACTAAATGAGATTGAACAAACTAATTTTGAAGTTTAAATGGATATAATGCCTCATAACACTGTCTAGAAGGTTATATCTCATCCTTTTCCCCATTTTATAAACATGTCCTAAGTTTTAACTTTTGACAGGGATTGGTAACCACCACAGAAACAATCAGTATACCTCATGATCCTTCATTTCACATTTGACTTTGTTTCCCATGACTGAAGATGAAGCGAAGTCTGGAGGGAGCAATTTCCTTCTCTCTGCAGATTGATGGGGATCATGTCCCTCGGACTCCAATTCAGGGAGTTCCTGGGAATGCAAAATCTTAAACTTGTGAGCTTTGAGATAGAATATTTTCATATGCTCTATTCAAGTGCAGATTTACCTGTGGATGAAGATTCTCATGATGATTCATTTTGGATTCGATTAAGTTTCCCATGTCGAAGGTTCAGATGAGTCTCGAAGAAGCAAAATTCTTTTTTCTGCGAATGATGGCGGCTATTACACAGAGCCTCTAATTCAGAGGATTCCTGGCAAAGCAAGCTCTTTCCTTTTGAGCATGGAGTACGAACACTTGCATTCTCAGTATTTAATGCTTCTGTTGTTCATTTGGTCTCCAACTTCCAGCCTTAGATAATGCTCTTACTTTAACTTTCTTCTCAAAAGTTAAACCTCTCCGCCCTTTCTGAGTTTTAGTAACAAGAAAATGCAGGATCAGTACTTTCTGTGCATCTATTTACGAAATTAATAAAACAAAATTAGTAAGAACGGTAAGCACATAACTTACAACACAAAATAAGAACGCATAGAGACCAGCTTTTTGAAATAAATTTGGTAGCTTATTTCCTAGTTGAAATATATAAAAGCCACGGCAAGCTTCCCATACTGAAGGCGTTACTTTCATAGAAAAAATATTAATATTTCACTATCCACATGTACAGCTCTGAATTTTATATCCATTGTCATTTCAAGTTCATCTTGAACTATGTACTTTCGGTCCAGATTCTTGGATTTGACAGCACAACTAAAAGAGGCAGGACGAACAACTGCAACTATTTCCTCTGGAGGATCACAACCAGCACAAACTACATTATCAGGAAGTGCCTGCAACCAAAAACTAAACTCAAGCTTAAGATGTACAGATTTAGAATCAGAAAAGTTGATAAGAAAATTGTCTATGTCGATAGATCATACGAAAATTAATGACTGATTTTCTTTTTTACTTTCCCTTTTCACTCTCCAAGAACAGTTTAAAATGCAAAAGCCCTGAAGCAAATTTGTCTTATTGCTTTCAGGCTTTTCTTTAATGAGGGACATCTTCTCTTTTGCAGGCATGCAAATTCTTCAATCTGAAATATTTCTTTCTTTCTTTTTCTTTAAATAAAATTTCGGTAAAGACTGTATGATGTTCCCTTTTGCACCATCTTTATAGAAGGATTAGATACTAGGCAGTAAACATTTGCAAACTGTAAAGATCAGAGAAACTCATTACTAGAGTTGAATTCTGTGGAGACTTAAGGATAGAAAGACTAAACTATAGGCCAAAGGTAAAAGCACGACAGAAAATGGGAGGTGAAAAAAGTTAAAATAGGCAGAGATTAATTGGCTTGTACAAGTGGCCAAAGTGTAAAGAACTGATTTGAAACCAGTGTGCTATGAACCGCACTAACCAGCACTTCCATTTTACGAATTTATGGTCAGAATGGAACCATCTGGAATGTAATGGGTAATAAAAATCTCAATGGAAGAAATTTGCAAAATGATCCAAAAACAAGAGCATGCCAAAAAAGAATTCATTTCAGCTTCAGCTGATGTCTCTGCCAAAATTGCTCTTGTTAACAGATTCTACTTGGTTATCCTACTACACTGAATAAAACAAGAATTTATTTCCCATAACAGAAGGTGGTTACCAACAAGCTGCTTTTTATGTAAAATTAAGTACTTGTAATAGCAACAATGAGTTTACAGGTTAGGGGTATAAAACCCAACTTACAGAACTCAATGGCTAGTACCAAAAAGAGAAAGGAAATAATCAGCAAATCCAAAATTTCTGAACTTCAGAGTCCCTGTTCGTAGTCAATTTCTCAACACATTTAACATGAGGGCCACACGGAAGCACATACTGAAGAAAAATTTGAGTGTGAAAGCTACAAGTTCTACAGAAAAAACAGAAAACTCTTGTTTCGAGACAACCTAAAAATTGACTGATTTTCTTTTACTTTTTTGAACATGAGCAACGCTGAGCTGGCTTATTTTGAATCCTTGAAGTTTTAGAAAGTATGAACCTTGAAGTTGAGCAAAAGGAGAGGGTGAATGTGCAGCCTTATTCTCCTAGACAATGGTAAGGTCATGGAAGGTAAGGTTCCTCATAAGGTAGCATCCAAGTAGGAGATAGGACCAAGGCATCTACCTTGTAGAACAAGATACTGGCAGATGAGTCACGGTTTCCTATATCCAATTGCATTTTCATAAACTGATACAATTCAAGAAATAAACATGACATAAGATTAAAGGATCACGGGCATCCTTTGCACCCTTCCAACGCTTGATAGAGCTTTGGTGAGGATACAGATATTGAAACCAACAAGGATAGGATCTGGTCCTCTACCGTACATGACCCGTGCTTACCCCTGTAGGATCTGGTCCTTTACCATACATGACCCATGCTTAACCCTATCTATCTATGATATACTAAGGCATGTCCAACTTGAAGATGTTAAAAGATCTACCAGAACTCTGAATTTTTTTTTGCTGTATCATACACAAAATAACAAAATAATAGACCCAAAGGCAATAAGTTTGAAAATTAATAATGTAAATGCCATAAAACTAACCCCTCCGATTCCCAATTCTTGACAATCTTTAGCACTCAATAGACTGATAGAGGATGGCACTTTCAGACTATGCTTCTGAAGTTGGTTTTCCCACTCAGCATCATCAATGGTTACACACTGCATTACATAAGAAATTGAGTAGCATTTCATGATGCTGGAATAGCAACCAATTTTGTTAAAAGAGAAAAAAGAATAGTACATTAAACTATCAGAGAAAGCCACTTACCTTTCCAGAATCAATCACATTAACTGGCAAAGAGATAGAGCCGCCAATTTTTATGCTTGAATTTTCATTATCAAAAACAAGTCTGCAACCACTTTCATCTGGAATACTGATTGGCCTGTAGGTATGAAAATTTAATCACAGAAGATATTTTTAGATACTTTTGAAAGAGACAAAGAAACTTGGATTGGCAAAAGAATGACAGGCTTGTCTTACCTGCAAATAAGTCGAGCTTCACCTATTTTGGATGCAGAAGGAAAGAAGATTTGTGACGTCAGTGGAGTTTCATACAGATGACAAAAATAAAAGAACACTCAGGTGTTATACAATTGAGGAGATACTACCAAATTCTTATCCGAATATAGCAGGAAAAGTTTTACAATGTTTAAGACTACATGATCAAATTATTCTAATTAGCCATAACAATCCATTAGAACTGCAGATCTGGAACTAAGAGTATTGCACGCACAAAACTACTTTTAAAAGAACGCTTACCTCCTGCATCCCCCTCCCATCCTTCAAGGATAACAAACTCTAATGTAGCATAGGAATTGGTTTTATGGTGACCAACATATGCTCCCTTGAGAATTTTTATCTTCTGTCCAGATTTCCAAATTGCTCCTTTCCTCCGAAAAACTTTGTGAACCCTTATAACTGAATGTTAAAGTATTATCAAGTAAAACTGATGTACACAAACTAACGAAATAATAAATTACTGAAGTATCACTAATTTACAATAGGTGGCAACGCTAAATGGAATTTTGAGTCTGCTGAACTGATTATAATTCCAGGATTACCCTTAGAAGAGATGCCAAGTTCTTGCTTATCGGAAGGATTAACCACAAAAGTTGGTTCATCATTGCCGCTAACGATTTCCTCATCGTATTTCTTATGCATACTAATAATCCAGTCTTCATATAGCTTCTCCAGTTTTGCAAGATTCAGCTCTTTTCCATCTTTATTAATTTCAATATGTACATCTACAAGATAAACAGTATTTGAATATCAAAATCTTAGTTATACTAATCGATAAATTCCAGTATTGATCCCAAGAGCCAAACAGTCCTACCTTTCTCTTTCTCAAGGTGCTTTTTCCCAAAACTTTTTAACGCAATGGTATACGGATTTTGATGAGCTAAATCCGTCTGAAAAACAGTTTATTTGGCCAATTCCATTAGAACAAGAAAAAGCATGTATGAACAAGCTGTTGCAGGCTTTTCCTCTAATATTGGAACCGCAACATTAAAAAAAGTATCAAGAATACATCATTTCACAACAAAGGGAGTCATAAGAAGCAAAAAAGTGAAAATACATGGATTTTATTTACCATGTATCTCATAAAATCTCTTATTTTTTTGTATGATCGCTCCACTGTTAAAAAAAGTCAGAAAGTTCAGGATATTGTAACAGTATAAGAGCACCAACATAACATCCTAGAGCCAAGGAGGCCTTAATTTAGTGGCTAAGGTTCAACCCTCAGGAATTAGAGGTCCTGGGCTCAATTCCCCCTTCCCCTTCGTAAATCTCACCCTCCCTTGCTTGAAAAAAATAATAAAAAAGAACAACCACAACACCCTAGAGCAAGTTTACATCAATCGGCGTGCATAACACAAAATTACAAACAAATGGCCATGCCTAAAGATGGAAGTGGATACAGCTTCAGTATACTCAAGTTGTTTACATATAAAGTAAACTTTAGAGAAGAGAAGCAATTTGCACCTTGGAAGGTGTTGGCTTGAAACCAGCATCAGTATCTACAACAATACCAACACAATGAGAATGGTAAAATCAAGACTCGAATGTCTTAGCAAAAGGAAACCAGACATATCACGTGAAAAAAAAAGCATGATAAAGACATTGTTAAAGCACAAAGATATGTTTTCTAAAACATGTGACACTCAGTTTTAAGAAAGCTCAACGCTACCTATAAAGCATTTCACACGATAGCAGCATCTCTTCAAGATCTGTCCGTGCTCTCCCTTTTTATGCTTAGGCTCCATAAATGGAAGCAATACCTAACCCAAAACAAATTCCTTGAAATTTGGTCAAGCTGTTCCAGGCCAAACACATAAGAATAGCAGGATAAACCCAATCTGTGAGTATACATCAAAGACAAGAAAAGCAGTTTATCACCTTCTACATTATGTGTCATCTATTCTGCCACCACCCAATATGTAAGACAGGGATTACATTGAACAGATAAAAGGATCATGAGAGCAGTAAGAACAGTAAATGCAAATAGCAACCAGTGATTGACTCATCCTGAACTAAGAAAAGATGTGTAATAATTTTTCACAAAAAATTGATACAACTTACCCAACGTGCATCTGGAAGCAGTCGACCCAGTCGTCGAACAGAAACCCGACTGAAAGTCTTGAAGTCTTCTGTATTACCACAACCATCCCGTTTCAGTTCCTCCAATATTTTGTCTATGCTCTCTTTACCCTATGGTCAACATATAGGAGTACGCATTAAGTTATTAATTACTAAATTACTATTTGAAAGAGACTAAGTTCGCCAATTGCATCCTTGTTAGTTCAGTCGATCACATATTTGCTTGGTAGATGAAATATTAAAAAAAAACCTGAGTGATAGGAAAATAGACACATTTAAGGCGTGCATTTGCTTCCCGAGGTGCAGTGTATCCTGAAAATATTATGTTATGCAGTAAGTGCTCAACTCAAGCATACGATATAACAACCAAAAGCACATTATTGTCTAAAAACAGGACAAAGAGAAAATGACCCGTTTAAGACTTAAAATTAGGTTCTCACCTGGGTTTGAAGATGATGTAGCTTGACTAGCATCCTTGGTCAAATGCAATTGCAAAGTAAAATTAGGCCCATTACAAGAGTTTACATTCGTCACAGCTACCTCGCCACCTAATATTTCGCCAAACCAATGCCATTAACCTGGAAATAATGTCAAATTCATATTTATTATGTTCAGCAAATTCAGATGATACAACATGGAGACAAGTTTGAATAAACACCAGTTTCTTTTATTGTGCATCTCCATGTAAATTAGCTACTTTAGATGTCAAGTGGCAATCAAAAGTTGAGGGGGTTTGAGGAATCATGGAATCATTATTGGGAGAACAAGAACCAGGTAGAGATATTGCAAGAATTTGCATCATCCATTCTCTTTGAATTCGTGCCAAAAAAAGTTTCACTGCAGGAGAATGTGACCAGAAAAATCAATTGCATAAAGGACCAACTAGTACAAATTTCTGCAGGAAAAGCCTGCCAACCAGCGTGTACGGGGAAAGCAAGCTGTTATTCAGTGAAGAGAAACATTATACCATGCTCAACTGGTATAAACTTCCAAAGATACATATATTGTGTTGAGAACAAGTTTTTTTTTATAAATCCTTAGATGATAAAATCATTTAACAGTTCGAACCTGAAACTCAATAGGCATTTTGTACTTCCGAAGAAACATATACTTTATTCAAAACAAGTTTTTATATATCCTTAGATGATAAAATCGTTTAACAGTTCAAACCTGAAACTCAATAGGCATTTGGGTTTTGCCTGTCCTGGATAATTCATCACACTGCCACAATGTAAGAAGAAAACATGAACATACAAGAGATACACATACAATGAAATCAAATTTACGGGAAGTAACTCAGCAAACAATATATAAGCGGCATCATCACTGTTACATGAACATACAAGAGATACACATATAATGAAATCAAATTTACAGGAAGTAACTCAGTGGCATCACTACTGTTGTTCAATTTTTCTACATGAATTACTAAGTTTGTCTGGTTTCCTATTTTGTTCACAGACATACACCAAAGTTTATCTGGTCCTGCCTATGTAGGTCCAAATAATCTTATGTAAGAAATCAAATATGATAACATCAAGTTGTTAAAAATTAACTTATGAAAAGACATCCATAAGAAGGTTTTTTGCCATAAATTTCAATTTTTTGTACTCAGGCAGTTTGTGTTCACAGGAGAAAAGTTTTGATTCATCAAAAGCACTGTTATGTTAACACTCTGCTTGTACAGGCCAAAAGCGAATCCAAACTCCTCAATTATTGCACAAGTCTACTGACAGATGCACTAATAATCTATAATTGTGTAGAAGGAATTTGGTTCCACGTGTGAAGCATCACCGAGCTAACTCCTGCCAAAACATAACATAAGCTTACATTTATGTTTCTCATTCTATAATCTCTAGCCTACAATAAGAAATTGATTGTTAAAGCAAAAAAAAAAGTTCCATGATGTATTGCTTGCATCGGAGTCTTCTGCAGATGATAAAACAAGGAACCAGCTAGTCCTGTTTCAATTGGTTAGTATGATACTAAATATGAGAGCCTGGTGTTAAACAAGAGTACCTGAATGTACGGGAAATAGATGTCCTTCAGTCGGCACATAAGTTGTTTCATCTTCATACTTCTCTGTTCAGTATTGAAGATCTCAACCTGCCAAAATATTAGGCTACAATTGATAAAATCTGATTGTATACATGTAGAAAGAAGGTCCAAAACATTCTTTCTACATGACTACTACAGTTCTTATGTGCACCAACAGTGACATGAGAGCAAGCAAGCCTTAACCAAAGAGTGACTTAAACTGCATAGACAATGCTCAGACAGAAGAAAAAGTTGTAAAATCAGACTTGATCACGTGCAAAGAAAAACTAATATAATTCTTATGTGTTTAGTGACAAAGTAGTACAAACAAATGAGATTTCAAGGATGAGCCTTTAAATCTAACAATTTCAACTAGGCATAAATTGTGTGGCTGGAGAAAAGAAAAATTGCAAACAGAAGAAAAAAATATGCTGACAAGTATGTCTAGAGAATATATAAATCATGAGAAATTGTATCCTAGCTCTTCATTCTTCGGCTGCACTGAAAGCTACCTAAGTATCAATCCAATCAACACAATCATGATAACTGGATGCATCTGTTCTGCATCTAGTATGGCGATAAGAGAATAGTTACCTTTGTGAAACTTCCATGGGAAGCTTTCTCTAATTCATCTTTGTCAGCGTCTCTAAGACCACCATTTGTCTATTGCAGAAAAGGAAGAAAATCGATAGAAACTTCAGAAAGGATTAAGCAAGGGAATAAAGCACTGTTACAAGAAGCCACACTGAAAAGAGAACTCTACCCTCCAAGTCTGTCCTGAGCTAGAGCTGAGCAAAGATTCTCTTTCTAGATGTAACATATAAACTTTCTTCGATTGCTTTGTCTTGGAGGAAATTAAAGCACGCCTATGAGTAGGAAGGCAGATGGGGCAACTTTATATCCAACATTCAAAAATTCTCTTGGCACTGTAAACTTAAACATGAACTTCCAAGTAGTTGTACCTTCCCAAGTGCATAGTTGCAAATGGTCCTCCATAACCATACATACCGAAGAGAGGCTGCAGTTAGCAAAATAGATCCAAAACAATAATTGGATAAAAGATATGCTCACAGCTTTTTGTGAAATGACTCTGTATATGAAAATGAAGCTTTTACAATTCATTTGCAGATCTAATCACATATTTAGGAGCCATTTTAGTTTGAAAGGCAATCCACAGATGACCAAGCAGACGCTACTTCCTTCTTTTCAGAATTCTAGGATTAATATCCTGTAGGCACAATGTTCAGGATCCTGAATTTACCCCTGGTTCACCTTATGGCTCCCAAAAAAAACTTTACCCAATGTGGATTAGACCCATCATCTTCATTCTCATTTTTTCCCTAGACTATGTGGTGCCTTAAAGGAAACTAGATCCGTAAAGTCCATTAACTGTCACAGTACAATGCTGTGATTTGTAGAACTTGAACATATATATAGCCTGATCCAATAATGAGAAGATTTTGTACCAAAGCTAGCCACTAAGAATTATTGAGATTATTGAGATTACAAGACATCTGCTGAAACACCACACAATTCAAGTAATTTGCTTCAGTTTTTTGATAGAAAAGTCTAAAAAGAAATTGTTACCGCTAGATATGGAGGTTTGCTTTCTATGCCCTGTTCTCTCGCTAATCTATGCAAAGATGCCCCAATCTTTCCCCTGACATTACAATTAATAGAATCAAAATTTAAGGAACCAAGCATTCAGCAAAATGCACAAGTAAAAGTAGAGTTACAACTGAACGAGAAACGGACCACAAACTTCATGCATTGTAGATCAAGTAACAACAAGAACTTGTCAGCAGTGATCTTCATAAAGCATGTCTCTTGGAAAAAGGAATCAGATCGACACCGGCATGCAGACTAATCATTAAATTTCATGATTTCACTTATCTCCCACTACGGATCCTATTCCATCTCCTCCTCCCTCCTTCCTACAACTAAGAAAGTCATTGGAATTAATTTCACACTTCAAACAAGATCTATTTAAGTCTTGACACAATAGAGCGACCTCTAAATGTTTTAATGGACCTCTCATATTTTCATTGCCTGCAGGTCCGTCAGTATAAACAGGCATATTGGACCTCCATTATGTATAAATGGTACGAACATTCCTAAGAGTTACTATTAGGATGCGTCCTGCAATTATGCTTGCTTTATTTATTTCTAAGGGGACTGTAATTAACTAGTTAAAACCGGATAACAAGAAAATAGTAGAGACTAGTGTCAAACTCATACGCCATTGTGTATTTAACTCAAGTAACTATATAACCACACCATTTATGCTTATGCTCAGCAGAATATCACCATATATAACTGCAACTACTTACCACTTTGCTATGGAATTTTCATCACTTCCGTCCATCCCAGGGCCTGTATCAAAATTTCAATTTTATCTTGTGCCAATTCCACCCTGGAAGCAAAGCAAAGCAAACCAATATTGTTAGTTTTGATATTTTCAATTTTTAACTTGATAGAGTCTAGAAGCACTCGGGGTGACAGGGAATCACAAAAAATAAACTGCAGCCACAGAATTTGATTCCGCAAAAAGTCGTTTAGAAAAGAAGAGATCTGATCAAGGGCAGAAAACAACAATGACACATGCATCAAAATGAATGTACATGCAGAATCTAACCAACAAATTCTTCATCATAAATATCACCAAAGTAGCGAGTACATAGCCTTCAGTAAAACCGACTCTTAAGAATTCTCATCAATGTAACAAACTGGAAAAGGTAAAATCCAATTAAACATACGAGTAATTCCTTATTTGGAAGACATTTGGAGTCAATAAATGATTTGAGCAAGAAATTCCTAGAGGTTCATAGAAAATATTCATACACACACAAGCACAGTACCAGGACCAGATAAAAAATGCCTAATATGTCTTATAAACTTCTATTGTAACAACAGCAGCATCAATAGATTCTATACGCCTCTTACATGTGTACTGGGACACGTGCTCAAGATATGATTGACTGCATTAATAAAAGCATCAAGAAAAGCCAGTAACTTACTTAATCCCTTGAATGAACTTCATCAGGGAGATTATGAGAGGCTCTTAACCTAATTACAAAAATACAATATGAACTAGCTAGCAATGGAGAATGAAATTTGAAACGCCATAGTTGAGGCCAATATTGTTCTGTCTTTTTGAGTTGCAACATGCATGTAAACAAAATAGACAGCTATTATTTACAGTTTACACCACTATAGCTGGAAAGTGGCATAGAAACAAACCAATGACACCACTGTATACGGTACCTAATTAACCTCCTCTCATTTCTGCGCGTTAGACCACACTGCCTGCAAGGAATTATCCTGCAAAACAGACAAAAATAGCATTTAGGCGGCCAAATGAGCCCATGGTGAACAGAGAAGTAGAAAGCTGCATGCTTACTATCAAGTCTGCAAGGGCAGTTTCGAAGGTGTAATGCTCAGGCAGTTCCCTCAGTAGATCTGTATCTGGTGTTAGATCCCACATGTTCTACAAGCTCAAATAGGTGATACATAATTAACAGATTTAACAACAAACCCAAAGCTTACACGAGAAAATAACAATTAATGCAAAAAAGGTTGACTAGAAGCAAACCTCGTATTTTCCTATTTCTGCCGAACCATCCTTTACCAAAAGGAAGACAAAAATGAAAATGAAAAAAATCAGTCAACCTTGACAACGCGACCGAGAGTTAACATGATAAGAGAGACAAACTCACTTGAAGAAGCAAAATGTTGGGATTTTTACTATTACACCTAAAGTTGTTCAAAACCAGTTTCTTGCTAATCGGGTTGGCATTAGCATCAAATAAATGAAAATGTTGACTCGACCAGTTTATACTGCTTCTTGGCTTAGAAGCCTCTGTCTGTCTCACAACACTCAAGTACTCGCGCTTCACCGTATGAACAAACTCCTCCAGAGTCATTTCAGCACCAGGTCGGCGGAGGTTCAGGTCCACACTGGTGCCATTAGGCAAAAGAACCCGAAATTTGAAAACCTTTTCTGCACTTAATTGATCACCTTCTGCAGGAAAGAACCTCTTTATTGATCTGCCCTGGCTGGAATCTTTATCAATAGGCCTCTTGTTCGGCCTACTCTGAGGCGTTCTGGAATCCATCTACTGTTAAGTTAGCTATTCCTAGGAAAAAAGAAAATGGTTAAAATGTTAACTTACTCTCAACTTCAATTGTCGTGCAAGTTTCCAAGGATAAAGAAATCAGATAAACAAGAAAGTTAGTTGTCATACATATTTATCAAGTCATGCAGCCAAAAAAAAAAAAAAAAGATTTCTTTCCATTTTATATTTTTCCCCCACGAAAGAAAGAAGGAAAATTCTGGAATCAAGGAAGCCTACCAAAACCTTTAACACGATATATTGATACCGTAACAGAAGCAATTCCTGATAGGAAAGAAAAAGAACGGCAGAGTTGAACGGACAAGCGCGGAAGAAATTGGAAATCCAGCAAGAAGTTACTGTTTTCTTTTAAGACCAAAACTTGAGAGAAGTAGTAGCACTTACTAGCAGTCGCAGAGCTGAATTTTTGAAAAAGAGACGGTAAAATCTTTTAGTAGACCAAAACTTCACGAACGATAAAACCACAACTAGATGATTTTGCGTCGGTCTGACTGGGTATGGGGAGCAAGTGTGCGAGGAGACTGGAGAGTAGTTCAATAATCACCAATACTGTGTACCACTGAATGATCAACGGCGCAGATACCAACAAAATTCTCAGAAGCGGCAAGTACTAAGATAAAAAATTAGCAAAGGAGGAGAAATGCAGCCAGCCGGGCTGAGAACAGAAGTGGTGCAGAGGGAGGTGAGAAAGCTGAAGAAAAAACAAGGAGGACAAGCAGGTGCGGGTTTCAAGGTCTCTTTCCTAGTAAGAGTAGAGTAGAGTAGGGGATGATGATATGATCAGATGGAAGGGTGGGAGAGTGGAAGTGGAAGCGGAAGCGACGGGGACAACTTTTACTTATAGTGCAAAGTGCATGAGCCAATTTATGTACTCCGTCATCCCTAACACGGTTGTAAAAATCCGGCGGCTGGATGCTCCTCCGTACTCCCTCTCCTGCTTCAAATTAAATCGATCCTACGTTAATTTTTTTGTTTGTTAAGAAAAAAAAAATAAAAACATCAAATTGAATTGATTGGTTCGCAATTCTTGCAGCACGTACGTACCTACGTTTGCTCATAAGATCGTCAACGGCAAATATGTCCGATCGATGTAAATTGGTCAAATTGGTTGGACCATTTTGTCATTCCAAATTTGTTTACTTATTTTGATTCCGATCCTTGAATTTGGGAAGTCTACGCATTTCACCAGACCAGATTGCTCGTAATTGGTGGATGGTGGACGCTGGACAAAAGCGGGCCGAAGTTTTTTTGTGCTTTACCATTCACCAATGGGTGGCTTCCTTTTGTATTGTAATTTGTACCTCCCGAAGGGAAGGAGGGAAAAAAGAAAAAAAAAAGGGGATGGGGAGTGTGGCTTGGCTTCCCTTCCTTGCTCTCCCGCCAATTCCAAAACAATAATTGCTGGCTGGTGGGACCACGACCACTTCCTCGTACGTACTCTCGCTCCAAATTTTTTCAAGCTTCCGCCCAATCGATCAGGGGACTTGTTTTACATATGTTATGTTCGATCCATTGCCCATATTTGATCTAGCGCATCCGAACCCTACGTGTGGAAAACTTTTTCGCCCTCCACTGAAAAGGCCTGCTGGTGATTTCAAATCAAAACACTCGTGAGACCCACGGGATGCCCAGAAAGTTTACGGGCCTGCTTTGTCTACCTCATGCCACAGTGACGACCACAGTGCTCAGATCTGGGCTTGTACCTTCCTAAGCGGGGCTAACCGCGCAATTGCATTAATTTGTTGGGCCGATTCTTTAAGCTGTGAAGTACCCGAATTCAAGAAAGGCAGCTCAACATGGGAGAACTTTCAGAAGAAGCCCCTCTTTGGGTGCAATTCTCGACCTGAAAAATAAATAGGGTACTTCCTTCCCTTATTTTTAACATTTTGTAACATTACTGTACATATAATTAGTGAGGGATGAAAAAATTTATTTTATAAAATATAAAAAATGAAAAGATTATTTTGTATAATATGAGCGATGCAAAAATTCATTTTGTAAAATGTAATTGATTATAAATTGGTTCATGTGAAATGTGATTTGACAAATTTGTCCATAAAAAAAGTGATCACCTGCAAGGCACGTGGTGGATTCTCGCAAAACAGTAACCAGAAATCTATATAGAGATCAAATTTGACTAATGTAAATTTGTAAGGAACGTAAAATTACACTTTTAAAGGTGAGGAGCAAAACAATAATCACTTTCCAAAATGTGAGGGACTTTTTAAACGATTTTTCCTTTTTTATTATGATGAATGGTTTTTACTTTTTGGTGTACTGAATTTTTAGTTTAGCAAAAGTTCATTTTCATATATTTTTAAAATTTGTTTAGATGCATGTATTTTAGTTTCACGAGCATTTGACTAGTTTAAATAGCAAGTAAAAAATACACGAGGATTAATGCCAAAAATGCAACCCAGCAAATTTGATAATGAAAATTAAACTTGTAGGTTTACCCATTAAGATTTGGTAGAACATTTATCTAAACGGGTAAAGATTTGGAATCGTCATCCTTGCTTTTAAATAGAGTTTATTTTGATTTCCTTTAAATCACTTACACTTTTGTTTGTATCGTTTATTTGCAATTATTTAAGTTAGAGATTAATTTCCCTAAGAACCCTTCTGGTTGTTCATAAGGATTAGTTAGTAAGGTTGGTATTTTTCATTCTGGTCTTCAACAAGTCTTCGTTAATAGGTAAAACATAGTCCAAATAAGGTACTGATGCCCTAATAAGGTGCGAAAGAGAGTCTTATGTCTCACCTTATGATGGAATACGCAGCTGAACAGCTTTCTGGTTTTGTGGTGGTTGACCCGAATTAATGACGTCAGCCAATTATCATTTCCGCACTATGTATTAGAAATTTGTGCAGATGGTACTTAAAATCAGAGGGAGATTCACTGCGGTAACTGCATGGTGCATTTGAAGGTGGAAGACAGCTCCGTCTGTATTAGCTATTTTTTGAGTATTTTTGAAAAATTTTATTGTAATAGTATATATATTAAAATTTTTAAAAATATTTAATATATCGTATGAATGAGATGTTTTTTTAATTATTGTGTATAATTGTAACATTGAATTTGAAAAACTTATTTTAAAAAAATGGCCAATCCAAACGTAGCAAAGATGATTTGAAATTGGATGGAAAAAATGGAATATAGAACACTAATTTTAATGCGTAAAAAAATTTATTGTATTTTTAAATTTTATTGTGGTATTATATACATTTATTATGTTAGCGTATACATCAAAATTTATGGTACTGTCTATAATATACTATGAAGTTGATATTGGTAACACTAAAAGTCTTGATCCCTTGAGATCTAGGGTCTGTTTGGAAGGTGAGTTTTTTGACTATTTATATAAAATTTTACTGTAGATCACTATAAAAATTGTAGAAAAACTTTTATAAGAAAAACTTTGGGTGTTTGTAAGATGAAATTTATTTTCCTTTTCATTTTTTTTCTTTCTTTTTCTTCCTTCCTTCCCGCTTCTTCTCCTTTCCCTCTTCCAAGACTTTCATGGCAGTAACTAACAGGTGATTCTTTTTTGTTTTTTTTCTCTTCCCCTCTCCCTCTCCCGCCATCCCTCTTCCTTCCCCTGCCACCCCTATTTTTTTTTCACTTTTTTTTTTCTTCCCCTCTCCCTCCCCCACCACCCCACCCTCTCCCTTCCCCGCCATCCCTCTTCTCCCCTCCCTCTCCCCTTCCCCTTCCTTCCCCCCGCCACCCTCCCTCTTTCCCTTTGCGATCTGGTCGAGTGACCAAATCGATCAAAGGGGGAGGGTGGTGGCGGGGGAGGCAGAGGCGAAGAGGGGAGGGGAGGAGGAAGAAAGAAAAAAAAGGACCAACAAATCAGTCAAAGAGGGAGAGGAGAGGAGCAGAAGGGATGAGGGAGAGAGAGAAAAAAAAAAGAGGAAGGCCGAAACTGGCTGCGGGAATAGTGATCGGCTTCGGTAGCGGTGGTGGAGGTGGTGGCCATCGACAGAAGACGTGGTGGGTTGGGTGTGGGAGGAAAAAGAAGAAAAGTTGAAGGGAATGTTTTTTGTGTATTTTTGAAGTGTGTAAGTTAAAAATTTTGATAAGATTTTTGGGATTCTTATAGCAAAAGTTATTAAAAAACTAGTTTTATACAAACTTGATAAAAAACCAAGGTTCCAAACAGGCCCCTAGACACGCAAGGCAACTTTAGTGCACATTGAAGCTTCAAGGTCCGTCTTACATTATTGTTTGGATAGAGTATTATTTGAAATATTATTTAAAATAATTACTATAGCATTTTTTTTGTGATGTGATGTATGTGAGATAAAAAGATAATTGGGAATATAAAAAATGTGAGTTGAGAAATGTGTTTATGATACAAGCGAAATATTATTTGAGATATTTGTGCTATCCAAACACTACCGAGCTTTTGTTTGGATAGAGAATTATTCCAAATAATGAATAATTACTGTAGCATTTTTTATGATATGATGTATGTGTGATAAAAAGGTAATTAAAAATATAAAAATATAGATTGAAAAATGTATTTATGATACAAGTGAAAATTTTTGTTGAAAGAATTTGCTATTCAAATATAGTCACTAGTAATATCACGTATAAATAATAAAAATTATTATTATTATTATCTTTCCACTTCTCATGCACCATTTTCACCTTAATTTTCAACTATAAAATTCGAACCCTGACAACAGGAAAGACTGTTTTCATCTACACATAGGACATCTACGAGTGGGATGGGTTTATCAGTTTGAACCATCTCTAACTTGACCGATTAAAAAGTCGCAATTACACAATGCACAATAGATGGAGACCCAAAGATAACCTGTCCCTCTCCTGATTTATTACGCTTTTAAGTCCCAGCCACCCCAAATGGACATTCATCTCTCCTCTCTCACGCTTTCTCCTTTTTTTCCTTTAAATGCAAGCAAAAGCAATTTGAGGCCTGCACGTTTAAGCGCTCCCTCCACTGTTGGAGGCTGGATGTGCAAATAAATTGTGCTGACACCACACTATTATAACTTCACAGCGCAGCAAACACCAACAAAGTATTCAGTATTCACTACCCTTCTGCAGCCTCCTCCCTCAATCTACAGCACTGTTATATTAATGTTGATTGCCTACTCAATTTGGCAATAACACCACAACTAAAGAAATAATTGCAGCACACGGCTAATATCCTAAAAGGCAGCTTTAGGGATTTTTTTTTTTTTCTAATAATGAGGTTTTTTTTTTTGTTGGTTTTAATTACGATAGTATTTGAAATATTTGACAGCTTTTCTGAACCATTTGTTATTATTGCAAAAATGCTGAGAAGCCTGACATGGAGATGGATGCTCAAGCACAAATGTGCACTTAAAAGTAACAGGTTGATTGAAATGGTAGAAAAATCCGATTGGCTGGCAAAATACCATAACAGGGAATTTGAAAAAAACAATACTACAGTAATACATAAATAAAAATAACTCAAAAAAATCTCATTCATACAATATATCAAATATTTCAAAAAGAAAATTATAGTAAAAATTTTTCATATGCACTGCTGCAGTAAAATTTTTCAAAACACAACAAAAAACACCTAATCCAAAGCATAGAGCGGTTACTTAACATCAATGCCTATCAGTCATATGCTTTCATCCTCGAAGTAGAGTTGCTGTTGGCATTCTCTAATGACTTTCTCTTTGCGCTTTTCTTAGTAATATTCTATACGTTGAAAGTGTATATATTTACATACTATTAGATACATGACACATAATTCAAATTTGAATTTAAAATTCAAATATTGCAGATATGTGTCGTATATTCAACCGTAATAATATATACACCGTTAGCGCATATAAGATTTATTTTTTTTAAGGCACAAAAAAATATTTTTATTTTTTGGTTGTTCTTGGGAAATTGAGAATCAAGGGCACATCTGTAATGTCCGGGCTGGGGGGGGGGGGAGTGAGATCCCCAATGGTCACACAATACTCATAAGTCACAAGCTCACAGCCCAGCCGTATGGAGTACGCAATAGAAGCGATGCCCGTTGCCCCACTAACTGAGTCCCCCCATCCCCCGTGAGAACGATAAATACCCAACCGCCAAAGCCGCGGTCTCCACCAGCCGGTATGATGACTTGCTTCTACTTACTTCCATCTCCATTCATCCCATGGTTTGTCTTTATTCTGCCTTCCTCTCCAGTTATCAAATCCCAACTCTCTTGATCACAACTTCATTTTCCTCTCTTTTTACTCTTTCCGGGGTTTCCAGCTTCTTCTTCTTCCACTTTCATGTTCCTTCATCTTTCTTTCTACGTACAAATGGACGTCATCAAGCAAAGACAACCATAAATCACGTTCACTTCACTCCTCCATCCGCCATCTCTCTTTTTCTATCCAGGTTTGATCTCTTTCCCTCCTCAAGTTATTGCCCTGTGATACTGGTTTTTCTCGCGTCTTTCACTCTCGATAATGCTCCATCAGATGTGCCCATCACTCATGGGATTTTCTTTTTCTTTGTTAACAACTGACAACTCTCGTGGCTGTGGTCATTCGTTAAAGTGTGAATGGGTGCTGCACAAGACTTCACAAATACACTACTCATTCTCTCGACATTCTCATCAGTTCCTGCGAAGCATTTGCATTTTACGTGTTGTGTATCATGAAGGCTGACTTTCATTTTTTAACCTCTTCTTGTGGTTGGGTTTCGGGGGCATTTAGAAATGGGCAAGAAAGGAAATAGCTGGTTTGCATCCGTGAAGAGGGTCTTCAAGCATCACTCCAAGGACTCGCCGGAAAAGAAGGTAATTACTTCTATGTCTCTATTTCTAGCTAGCCATTAGCGATTACTCTTCTGGGCAAAACTAGATCTCCGAATATTTCTTTTCCCGGATTTGTCAGAGTAACCGAAAGTACCAAACCAGGAATTTAAGACCGTTTCTAATTTTGGCCTGATTGATGCATGAATACTGTGTAAAGCGCTGTAGAAGGTAAAACATTCTCGATACAATGAAGGACGAGGATTCTTGTTGATTAGGAAGGGGTCAGCATACTTGGATGTTGGCTAATCTTCCCAACAATTTGGAATTGACTACCAATCAGTAATAATGTCGGATGTCTTTGATTGCACGGAACAGGAAATTTTATCAACCACAAATTCCTATTGTCTATTGATTGATATTTCCTCTAGTATTTGTTGGTTGTTACAGTAGTCATATTTACTCAATCCTCCCTTACGGCCTTACCAAAACCAAACAACATGCGCACACCGTCCCTGATAGGTGATTATGCCATCGATTAGTACCTATCTTTACACATGGATCTGCAAAATCTTGGGGTATCATATTATTGTCTGATCGAGTGAATTTGGTCCCTGACATAACCATCCATCCCTAAGCTTGGCAGTTGATGGGATATGAATTTTTTTCCTCCCAATAAAACATCATTAACCCGATCCGGATCGGATAATATGGTCCCCATCAACATGGCCTAAGCTAAAAAGTAAAGGTCATGATAAATTGCTCTCTCTCTCTCTCCAACATGGCCTATCACCATCACATCTAATGTGTAATCATGTGCTAGTTGTGTTAGATCTCAATCATTCCAGTAATCCTGCTGCTGTGTCTGACTCCACAATTACGGAAAACATTGAAGCACCAAATAGGCTGATTAATTTAGGCCAGAGATGAGTGCTGATGCTGAAATGTTATAATTTGATCTTGCAGAAGGAAAACGTAGAAAAATGGCAACATGAAGCGCCAGAAGTTGTGTCAGTTGAACATTTTCCGGCAGCAAGCTCCCCTGATTTCTCAAATGGCGAGAGTTTCGATTCATCCTCGGCGGCTGAAGACCCCAACCATGCCATAGCTGTCGCCGTAGCAACTGCTGCAGCAGCCGAAGCTGCTGTTGCAGCCGCTCAAGCGGCTGCTAAGGTGGTCCGTTTGGCAGGTTACGGACGTCAATCTAAGGAAGACAGGGCTGCTACGCTCATTCAATCACGTTACAGGGGATACTTGGTAAAATAGCATTTTACTGCACTCAAAATGACCTATTGGTTTTTATCTATGCAAATCAGGCGGAAAATGAAAAGCTGAGCATTTATAGGTTGTTGAACATGGCCCTCAGAATAGGAGATGCTCTTTAAAAATCCGAAACTTTATTGGTAGGGGCTGAATACTGCAATGTGGACAGGTCATTTAATTATAGGCCATATGTATATATATATATATATATATTATATATATATATATTATATATATATATATATATATATATTGTTAAAAGGAAGGTCCTGAAATAATTTTGCCAACAAATGGCGTTGCCCAAAATTTGTCATCTACCACTTTTCATCTCATTAATTAAATAACATGTTTGCTAATTATGAAGGCAAGACGTGCGCTGCGTGCCCTGAAGGGCCTAGTGAGGCTGCAAGCATTAGTGAGAGGTCATAACGTCCGGAAGCAAGCACAGATGACTATGAGATGCATGCAAGCACTGGTGCGTGTGCAGGCAAGAGTGCGTGCCCGCAGAATTCAGTTAGCCCAAGACAGGCTTCGGAGCAGGATGGAAGAAGAAGAGGAAAGGCTTGGACTGGGCGAGGAAGCTTCAAGGCGAAGGAGCCCCACGAAGAACATTGAAATGGAATGTTGGGACAACAGAAGCCTGAGCATAGACAAGATAAAGGAGCATTCCATGAGGAAGCACGATGCTGAAATGAAGAGGGAAAGAGCTCTAGCTTATGCTTTTGCCTACCAGGTTTGTGGCTTTCTGTCGTCGATTTAAGTTAACCCTCCAAACCAGGCATTCTGTTGTTTGATTGCGGTCGCGTCTAGTTCGCTCTGATTGATCATTTGGATTTGGCATAACAACAGCGACAACAAGAAGACCACAAGTTATTGCACGACAACGATCCAAACGGTGATAAAGAGAGATTCTTCGGCAGCGAGCACGAGAAGCCACGATGGGGATGGAACTGGCTGGAACAGTGGATGGCATCACAGCCATACCACGCCCGACATTTGGTACCTCCGCGCGAGACTTCCTACGTCGCATTAACACCCACCACCACCGATGACATGTCGGAGAAGACTGTTGAGATGGATTTGGCGAGCGAAAATGTCGTCAAGTCCATCCGCAGCAGCATTGGAGGGGACATGGATCTGATGGAGACGACGACGTGCCCGTATGCAGCAGCTAGGCAGCAGCGACAGTTGGGCTCAGAGTTCGTTCCGAGTTACATGGCCCCAACTCAGTCTGCCAAAGCAAAGGTAAGGAATCATCAGGACTCAATCAAGAGTCGAAGCACTTCCACAAAGAGGGGAGCGGTTGCTGGGCCAGGGTACGAGTCCTCGAGCGCCGGTGGGAGAACGTCAACTTTCCACGTCCCCAGGAGCCCAAACCCAAAGAGCAATGGAAACCGTGGCCCGGGCAAGTGGATTGGCGGGGGATACAGCCCAGACTCAAGCAGCGAGGACAGGGCATTCCCATTGCCCTTGGGACTTGGGAGCCCGTGGATATAAGACGATCATAATAATAATTTTGGTTCTATTGTGGTTCAGACGGGCAACAACAGCCCTTTTGTTTTACAGCATCTTTCTTAGCTCATTGTGAAATAAGGATTGGTGATTTATTACTAGTTCTTGAGGGAAAAAAAAAAAAAAAGAAGGATTGGTGATTTATAAGTTCTTGAGAAGGAAAAAAAAAAAAAAAGGATTGGTGATTTAGTAAGGTAGTTTTGTTGGAGCTAAGCTAAGTAGGGTGTTAACTTTCTTTTTTTTGGGTATTTGTCAGAAAGGTAGAGAGTGTAACTGTAATGTATGCTGATGCTTTCCTACTCGTTTCTTGTGAATTACCGATGGATCCTTCGTGAGCACGTTATTCGAAGTTACCAACCACAAGGCTAATTAAGTTGAATCAATTACTTTGCCTGCTGGTATGTTTAATGATAACTGCAGTACATTTTTTTTTTTTTAGTTTTATTACTTGCGTGAAGCCATTTTGTTTTTCTTATATTCTACAATGAAACTAAGGGCTTGTTTGACAAGTAAGTTTTTTTTTTGTCAAATTTGTCTTTTATAAGTTTTTTAACAACTTTAGTAACAGTTATCTTAAAAAATTCCTCTGAGGATGGTCATTTCGGCCCGGATAATCCGAGGCCTTATACTCTGATACCTCCTGAGGCGCTACCTCGGCACGTTACTTATCGAAGTGATCGTAACCTGTGTACCACCTTGGCTATAATCTTCAGGTCGTTAGCCGAGGTGACGGCTGATTGATAGACACCCACAAAAGATAGGAAATGACACCTGACATGCTTGACATCTGATGGACAGCTGCTCTGACACACGCCGTCTGAATCGGGCGAGTGTCCAGTCAAACCTTTTCACAAAGATCAGTCAAATCCACCAGATGCATTGACCATCTCCGATCTTTAGGGACCCGTGCTGCCAGTCCCTCTTCCCAACAAATCCCCTATAAATACCCAACGTATCTACCAAGATGAGGGATGACCAATTTTCTGGTAAAGCATACTAATCTTCTTTACTACTACCTTATTTCTTTCCTACCGAACTGACTTAAGTTTCGAAATTACATCGGGGGATCCAGCCCCTCCTGTAACCTAAGCAGGTGACCTCGCCCCAGTGAACTACCCAGAGTAAAGGCACTTCTCCAAACCTGAAGGTTCACTTCAGCAGGACAAGAATCACCTCTTCATCCTCAAAATTTTTTAAACCATACACTTCAAAATTTTTTCCTGCAACTTCTACAGTAAGTTATAATAAAGACCTTATTTGGAACCCAAGTTTTTTAGAAATTTTAGCTACAGTAATCTCAAAAAATTCTTAATGCTTTTTCAAACTATACACTTTAAAATATTTTAAAATCTACATATTTCAAAAAATTTTAAAAAACTTCTATAGTAAATTACAATAAAGTTTTAGACAAATTCTTAAAAAACTCACCTTTCAAATAGAGTCAAAGTTTGAAAACAAACACCTAAAAAACTCATTTGCTATACGGGGTCTAAAGTAAGGGAAGTTGATGGGATGATTCAGCATTGCTCAAAAGATTCTTGTGTGCGTTGTGCGAAGAGAGTAGCATTTGCAGCAGTTGTTTATCATCTATGATGTAGTAGGAACAAACAAAAGTATTTCAGAACTTAGTTCACTCTCCTGAAGTCGTAGCTGAACAAATTATGAAGGATGTGAAAGGAGTTGCTGCAGGGTGCAAGAGATTTTTTGTGTGCCTAATGCTGATTGTGTGGTATTTGGAATTAGTCTATATTTTGTAAAAATTTTGTTTACGGTTCTGACAGCATATACTCTTGTAATTAGTGATGGAAGCATGCCTCTTCCCTCGTCTACTGACTCTTTACCGATTCATCAATGGAAAATATATATAGAACTTACCAAAAAAAAGAAAAAAGGAAAAAGGTATTCTGTTAAGTAAACGTCATTAATACCTTAATACGTTTGAAATTTTTGGCAACATGGGAATCCGAAAGATCGAATGAAAATAGAGCATGGCTACAAACATTAATCTACTACTTACTATTGTTTGAGGTTTATAGTCAAATTTGCCGTAGCAAATTAAGGTTGTGTTTGTATTTCATTTTTCATCATTTTTTATGAAAAAATTATTGTAACGATTTGATATATGTGAGGGAAAAAGATGATAGAAAAATATGATTATCGAAAACGATAATATTTTCCGACGAAAACAAGTAATCCAAGCTAAAAGCGAACATCTTTTAAATACCTCAAAAAAAAATATATAGAAAATAAACAGTACTTGTTAAATTCCTCGTAATCGGTTGGAAAAATGAAAAAGAAGACGATGCCGGGCGTGACATGAAGCCCCCAGAAAGGGGACGAATGTAATTTAGCAAAGTATCAATGCCACGTGTCTAACAGTCACTAGTAGTAGAGGTAGGAGTCTTCCGTGGGCCTTGGTATTTGCCTTTTCCTTAAAATGTCAAAATATCCTGGACCGAAGTGAAGTAAACCAAACAACGTCGTTTCGATTGGACTCCCTCCGTCTCCCTCGGCTCTCGCGGCTTCATCAATCATCATCAGATCCCAGTAGCTGTACTTTGGTCGGCGGGCTGGCTGGCTTTGCCTGCTTTTCCAGGTTCCACTTGAATCTTGCGTGCGTCTCTCTCTCTCTCTCTCTCGCCGAGAGCAAGAAACGGAAATATATCCCTTGCGTCTTTATTGGGTCTTTCCATATCTCGATATATATATCTCTCTCTCTCTCCCCCTCCTCTGTTTCTCCATCTCTATCACACGCACTCACGCACTCACTCTGGTTGCTCAATGCATATGGCAAGTACGCAAACTTCAAGAATCATCCCCTGTCGCCACACACCATTTCCCCCGGCTTCTGCGGAGAGCCCTGCAAATGGCAAGGGTTGGGCTGTGCTGAGGCAAGTGGGTTTTGCTTCTTTTTATCGACATAACAGAAGCGGAAAACGGTTCTCCGTCTGCGTTAGAAGATCCTATGCTGAACCGAACGGACTCGATGGCCCGGGTTTACTAAGAAATCTCAAGATGGATCTTCTTCCAGTGCTCTGGAAGATTATCAGAAGGAGGGTCTAGTATTGGGCACCCAGAGGCATGAAGGCCCTGCCTCTCTTGCTGGCTTCACTTGATTCCTCAGTCCGGTAAATATACACCACCTTGATTTTCTCTCTCCGGCTTCCTTTTCCTGTATTCTATGCAGTTTGGCATTTAAAAGCGGGTTACATCATTTTCCTATCTCTAGCAGTCTGCCAGATGATATTTTAAAGTGCTGCGATTGATTTCTTTTGTACTGTTGCTAACGTTTTTGTTATTGTTGCTGATCTTGCTAATTCGTTGTGTCATTGAAATTCTTTATACAAGTGTGTTTGGATACCCAAAAAAAAAAAAAATCAAATATTATTTTGTTTGCATTAGAAACCTTTTTTCTCAATCTATTCTTTTTATCTCACGAACGTGACGCGATATAAAAAATGTTACAGTAGTTATTTAAAATAATATCTATCCAAATATTACAACTTCGCAAGAACCTATCTTTCCAATAGACTCGCTGCATTTCATTTATACCGTTATACTAGTCAAGTTACCCTGGTGCTTCTGATTTGACGACTATTCAAGCTACCCAGAATTGCATCATGACAAGCAATAGCGTTATAAATGGTTACAGAGTGCAATTCATATTTTTAGTCCTACCTTTTCCCTTAGTTATGTGGATGTTGTTAAAAAAGTACAAAATCTGCATAAGTCTTTGGAGCAATTTTATAAAGCTGAAGAACTGTTCAAGTTTAAGCTTTGACCAGCAGTTACTCTGTTGAACTTGATCTACAGGTGACGCAAAGGTCACGGACTCGTATACAAAGTTGCCTAGTGGTCAAGACATGCAACTCCAGATACAGAAGAAAATATTTTGGCCAGAATAACCTTCAATATTATCTTTGTTGCGGCGGAGGTTGCTCCATATTCCAAGACAGGGGGTTTAGGAGATGTTTGTGGTTCTTTGCCTATAGCTTTAGCTGCCCGTGGGCACCGCGTAATGGTTGTCTCTCCTAGATACTTGGACGGAGGCCCTTCAGATAAAAGATTTGCTAATGCAGTTGAAGTTGGTTGCCCAACCAAAATTTATTGCTTTGGTGGTGTACAAGAAGTTTCTTTTTACCATGAATACAGGGGAGGGGTTGACTGGGTAAGGAAACATAACATGCTATATTTTTAGCTTTTTATTTTTTCATTCCTTTTGTTTTAGTAGCATCTGATTCAATTGTAGCACTGTGGTTTACCTTAAGTATTGTGAGGGAAAAATTTTACCCTACTTGATGATGATCTCAACAGTTATGGGATCTTGCTTCTTTTGCTAGGTATTTGTGGACCATCCCTCATATCACAGACCTGGAACGCCATATGGTGATGTATTTGGTTCTTTTGGTGATAATCAGGTGTGTGGTTGTTTCCTGTTATTGCTAAGATAGATGAAGCTATTGGCAACAATATCGCTGACAATGATAAGTGTTGATTTCCCTCCCTTTTTTGGTTGAGCAGTTTCGTTTCACTTTGCTTTGTCACGCAGCATGTGAAGCTCCATTAGTGCTTCCATTAGGAGGGTTCACTTACGGAGAGAAATGCCTGTTCCTTGCTAATGATTGGCATGCTGGCCTGGTTCCCGTGTATGTCACTATTAATCCCTTTTAGGTCTCGTTGGTTTAAACCTTCATCCTTGTTTTTACATGGCAATAGTACTTAATAAAACCTTCATTTATGGTTAGGCTTCTCGCAGCCAAGTATCGTCCTTATGGTGTCTATAAGGATGCTCGGAGTATAATCGTGATTCATAACCTTGCACATCAGGTGCCTTTTTATTTCTCCACTCATCCATGCTTATTTACTTCTTCTCCAAGTTACTTGGCTTTTTATTTTGGAAATCATGCTATCGGCTGTATAATTGTCTGAAAATAGCTGGAAATGAAGATCACTTGAGGGTTAATGAATTTTCCTTCTGTTAGACTTCCAATCTGCAGCTCTTGTGTGTAACCTTGTCAAGTCATGAACCGTTAGTGAGAAATTAAGGCCTTGTTTAAGGATCATATTTAAGTATAAGCTTCTCCTTTTGCATTCAAAAGATTTGCAATTATAAGTGCTGTCATGTATAGCCACGACTTTGGTTCCATGTCCAATCCAATCTTTGCTGGCAGTTCTTTGACCAATCTGTCACTAGATATGTAGTGTTACTAGATTGCAGTGACTAATAGGCCTCCAATGACCACCAATTTCATTGGAATTAATTAGACAACAGGTAAAGATAGGTTAATGATCATTAAAATCTTCTAAAAATGCTTTGGATCATGAGTTCTGATGCAATTAGTAACTGAAGCTGCTTTGTTATGCTTGCAAGGGAGTGGAGCCCGCAATAACTTACAACAATCTGGGATTAACTCCAGATTGGTATGGGGCAGTGGGATGGGTTTTTCCAACTTGGGCAAGGACACATGCTTTAGACACAGGCGAAGCTGTGAATGTCTTGAAAGGTGCAATTGTAACTGCAGACAGAATACTGACAGTCAGCCAGGTCTGATGTCTTGGAACTTAGTTTTATTTACATGATTATGCATTATTAAGTATCATGGATTTAATTGGGTGGTTTATGAAAATAATTTCTGCTATGTGAGCCTGTAATAAGAAGCTTTGTTACTTTGTAACTGATTCAGCCTGTAAAAGTTTCTTCTTTTATCCCAGTTTCGTACAAGTATTTATTGGGAGAACAATATCAAAATGCTTTTTTTTTGTTTTAACCTAATTATTCTTTTTCGTTTATGGCAGGGTTATTCTCGGGAAATTACTACTCCTGAAGGTGGATATGGGCTACATGAGCTTCTGAGTAGCAGAAAGACGGTTCTCAATGGTATGTCTTATATGGTTATTTCTTCGGTTAGGTAGCTTTTACCTGTGGTACCTTTATGATGTAGTAAGCTTCTTCTGAAGGGTATAGATTGAGTTTGAGGGTCCTGCAGATTATTGTTTCTCTTACACTTAATTTATCTTTTTTTTTTTGCATTAATTGGAATTACCAAGCTTGTAAGTGCTTGAAAGATTTTTTATGCTTGTGCAGGAATAACAAATGGCATTGATGTCAATGATTGGGATCCCTCTTCTGATCCTCATATTTCTTCCCATTACTCCTTGATTGACCTTTCTGGAAAGGTACTGTTGCTTCATTATCAGAGCAGGTCACTTAAATTGGATTGATAACCTTACGTCAGAAAGTGGACTTGTATGAATGAAGACATCTGTATCTGCTTCAGAAATAGTAATTATTTGACCATTAAGGGCCCTTGGGTGGTAAGGATAAACTAAAGATGAAAAAGGTGAAGGGAAAGAAAATAAAAGACCGATTGTTGCATCAAGTTATGGACCTGCTTCTCTGGTTGTTTTTATCTCCATGTTAGTGGTAATTTGCAGGTTCTGTGCAAGATTGCATTGCAGAAGGAATTAGGTCTTCCAGTTCGATCTGATTGTCCTCTGGTGAGAATACACTCATTCTAGTTATTTACTGGATTTTCCTCTTTTGCATTGATTATAAGTTCAATTCGATTCAGATAGGGTTTATAGGTAGATTGGACTTCCAGAAAGGTATCGACATGTTACTGTCTGCCACCCCAGAACTTTTGCAAGATGATGTCCAGCTTGTAAGCTCTCTCTCTCTCTCTCTCTCTCTCTCTCGATTGAAACTGTATTGCACATGCACCATGTGCCATATCAGGTGTGATGTCCTTGCTGTATATTGCTCTTCTCCGTTTTGTGGGGATATATGAGGCAACTCAGGCAGAATTATCTTTCCCTTCACTTTACACACTGTGTCAATACACATTGTATTTCTTGGCCATTGTTGTGCTTTTGGGCCTCCCCACCTGGAAAGCTTGCTCAAGATTCCACAACCAATGTAAATAACCCCAACTATCTTCCCCTCAAAGATTGGGCCTGAGGCTGATTTGACCATCAACTTGATTAGCCAAATTATTGTTAGGCAGAGTTGTTCTAACTGGGGGTTCTAACACCAACTTTGGGTGTTATTGGGCCTTTCCCCAAATGCTAGCTTAAGAGGTGAGGTTTCTTCTTCACACTTATAAACCAGCAACCAGCCCTTCCATAACTGGTGTTGGATAATCCGAACAGTCAAGATTATGGACTATTTGGTATTTAGTTCGGTTTTAGGATGCCTCGTTTAGAAGTTAATGCCAGTTTCTAGTGTTGCCATTTTTCATCTTGAGGTGTTGTGTTTTACTTGGCTAGAGGTTCTTATTCAATTGAGATGTGAAACTATTCTATGATGCTCTAACAGGATGTATAGGTAGACATTTTACTCTGTTTGATCATTGGCCTTCTTTATATCTGCATATAGTGTAGTCATGGAACCAGTTGACTTTTCAAGTGTTATTCAGTTAGCTTCATATAAATGAGGTATGATAAATAGAAAAAATTTGGCACTCTATATTTGCTGGAGTGGTTGTAAGTTGATATACGATTTCTGTGGAGGGATGGTGGTGCTGCAGTATGCCCTACTTCAATTGAGGACCTTTGTTTTCTCTTTTGTATTTCTTGACATAAATCCCGAACCCTGTCTTTTTCAAGAAAAAATGTACGTTAATCCAATGTTTGTCAGGTAATGCTTGGATCTGGGGAGAGACAATATGAAGATTGGATGCGGCACTGGAGTCACTATATCCAGACAAATATAGGGGTTGGGTTGGATTTAATGTTCCTATTTCACATAGAATAACTGCAGGGTAATTGAGCAAGAATTGACCTTCTGAGATTTATTGTTAAGAAGCAATTTTTATGAAGTTCACTTCTTATCGCTGTGCAATTGGCAGTTGTGACATACTAACAATGCCTTCAAGATTTGAACCATGTGGTTTGAACCAGTTGTATGCAATGAGATATGGCACCGTGCCTGTTGTTCACAGAACTGGGGGTCTTAGGGTGAGTGGAGACTTGAAATTGCAAATCTTCTAATAACACAATATTATGCATTACATGTGCTGTTTACGATCTTTTTCTTTCAGGACACAGTAGAGAACTTCAATCCATATGCTCAAGAAGGAACAGGAGAGGGAACTGGGTATGGACTTTTAATCAAAATTTTTTTGGTAAACAAGAAGCCATCTCTATAGCTGAAACACTGTTGCTACTAAGACAGTATATGCATCTCCTTGGGATCTGGTGCCTCGATACAAGATATCCAAATTGATGATACTTGTATGGTTGTAAAATCAGTTAGCAAGATACTACAAAGTTACCATGTTTGCTCGGATATTGGCCACAAGGTTCTTAATTTGACTAAAAAAACCTCTAGCCACTGCCTCGGAGAATAAAAGACACTGAGCAGTGATGTGCTTTTGAGGCCACAGAATGCAATTCGTAATCGTATATACTAGTTTTCTTGAATACTTTCATATATTGAAGGACACAGAGGGGTGGATCCTCTTTTCTTTTGCTTTTCCTTCTTTGGTCTGCAGCCAGATGCTCTATTTTTCTCTCTCTCGGTCTTTGTATATGCTTTCAAAGGTGCTGAATAGGAAATGTCTAACAGGTGGACTTTTTCTCCTCTATCAAGAGAAAATCTGATTGCTGTAAGTTCTCTCAATGTATATATGCCCGTATTTTCATAATTCGTCCGTTACTTTTCACATGTAGGGTTCTGTGTCATTTCTGCTCATGCGATCCAAATGGTTATCCTTTCTTAGTCTCTACCTGATAGGGGCATTGACTGCTAACATAATTGGTGAATTATCTTCACAAGTTGGTATTTGTTGATGTCTGCAGGCACTAAGAATAGCTGTTGGGACTTACAGAGACCACAAGTCATCTTGGGAGGGTTTGATGAAGAGAGGAATGCAGAGGGACTACTCTTGGAACAACGCAGCAGTTCAATATGAACAGGTCTTTGACTGGGCCTTCCTGGATCCTCCTTATGTCAAGTGAGTGAGTTAAGGAGAGAGGAAGGCAATCAGCATCTATAGGCAAAAGAAATTTCCTGATTTTGGAATACACCCAAAATTTGTTACCACGAATTACTGCATTTTTGCTAGAGCGTTGTAGAATTATTATACTGTCGTGACCTCGGGAACAAATCATAGAGTTCTTTTTAACTTGCACTGCATCAATTAACAAAATTAAGTCAGGAGAGTTTTCCCTCTGCGATTTTCTATAAAGCATGCAATCGATGGTAAAATCATCAATCGACCAGGAGACACTTGGGTAGTCTCTGTAATTGTGCAGACAAAATGGCGAACTTCTTGTAGTATGAAAGAAGGTTCAAACTTAACAGAAATGATGCCACAGCAGCGCACCAACTCCTATAGGGTGACCATATTAATCCCATACATTGGTGGCTTCTTTTGCTTGACATGATGAGTAGCTGAATCAGCTGTCATGTTTTTGCCAGAAGAAAATTTGAGAAAGCCACAGAAACTTTGGTACCCCGCAGGATTTGGATTGTAGATTTTTTTTTTTTAAATGGTAATTGTTATATAATCTTGTCTATCCTATATTAGATGGAGGGAGCGGACTTGAAGATACCTAAAGATAATTTGGAGGGGGCTGAATTATCATCGGACCAAATGAGTGCATTATACATTTGTATGAATTTTTTAAGTAGAACATTTAATGTGACAATTGGTGGAGGTAAGATTTGAACTCTTGACCTCCCACCCACAAGTTTTTAATGCTTTGGTGGATTTGGTAGTAGATGAGAAGAAGCAAAAGGGGCAATTTCGATGTCCAACTCCAGTTGGATCAGGGTTAAAGCCAGAGCGCAGGCGTTTTGGAATGGCTAGCGTCTACTTACGCGCGGGTGCTGTTTCCGTGTGCTTCAGAGTCCCACATCGCCAGCAGTTAAAAGGAGAGCTACGTGAGGAAGTACTATAAAAGCGGAGCGAGGCAGTCTTTTGAAAGCATCTTTGCGCTTGGGGTAATGACGCAGCTCATGAGGTTCTAACCGAGGCGCGTCTATTGCTGGTTGAAAACTATTTCCAAACCCCCTCTTTGGCCTGGGTTCGGCCTAGGCCATCGAGAATTTCTGGAAGGGCTCCCTTCTGGTACGGCCCTACAATTCTTAGTTTAATGATTGTGAGAGGATGATTGTATGATGAGGCTTTTATTCGTACTATGCTAACAATCAGTACGAAAATAAAATTAAAGATGCATGGAGAAATAGGGTCAAATAAAACCTATTCCCTTATCATATATATTCGTTTCCCTTTTGGTCTCTCTTCTTTTTCATTGAAGTTTAGTTTTTTTTTTTTGAAATTTCAATATTCTAAGCAGATAAAAAATATATCTCTAAAAAAAAAATTACGTTGTTCATTGTGTAATTTACAAAATTGAAGAAATAGTTGTTGTGATATGCCAAATTTTTTGTTACAGAAGATTATGAGTTCTTAATATATTTAGACATATTTGATACAAAAATTAAACATTTGAATTAATTAATTAGCAATTGAATTTTTAAGATAAATTTGCTCCCAATTTAAGTGATAAGCTATTCACTTATCATTAAATGTGATATGCATTTAAATGTATTAGATTTAATAGTTAATAATTCAATAATTTATTGGATTTGACTCCGGACTTAAATTTTCAAACTTTAATTTTATCAAAACGCATCATTATACTTAGGATATTTGTTAACCACAGAACGTGTTGATTTGTTAACAAATATTTTTACTGAGAAGGAGATTACATTATCAATTGATTTTGTTGAGAATTTTTAGAGAATTATTAGTTAAAAATAATGTTAGTTTATTTCATATATAACCACTATAAATAGTAAGTTGATTAATGAATAATGTATTGCTATTTTCAACTTTCAATACAAGTCTTTTGTAAATCATTTTTGGCAATACTAGCTAAACTATTGTTTCTTAGTTTATGCCCTAAAAATAAAAAAACTATACATAATCTTGACAAATTGATTTCATCTATTCTCCAATTTAAAAAATTAAGAAAATAAATTTATTCTATTTCCTTATAATTAGACAATTCAAAGTCAAATATTTATTTTTACAATCACATTTCACACGTATTCCTCAAATGAATTTTTGCTTATTATGATTGTCTTTATTTTATTTTTTAAACTATTCAATTATTAGTGTATTCATGTGAAACTTTATCACCATGAATTAGAATGGTCAAATCAAATCACATATTAAACTTAAATGTTAAAAGGAAGTAGAAAATATAAAAATAAAATCTAGCATAATAAATGAGGGTATTTTTGTCTTATGAGAGGGTTAAGTGACAAAAAATAAAGGTTATGGAGAAAAGTGAGAATCAAGATATACTTTGGGAGGATAAATTGTAATTAACCAAAAAAAAAAAGGTCATATCCTTTTCTTGGTTATTACCAACAAACAGGGCAAAAGATATTTTCATAATAAAAAATTTAACGTGACAATAATTTTTGGTAAAATGACATGATTCTCCCAAAATGTGATTATGTTTATTTTAACTCGAAAAAGGTAAATTTGATATATTATCAAAAAATTACTATGAAATTAAAATTTGAATTTCACAATATCACTAGCCAACAAAGAGACAAGACAATAACATATGATTTTTTGTTATGAATGAATTAAAGTAGTTAAAGCGCCACGTAGTGATAGTGACAATAATTCGGGTGAAGTTGGTTAAAGAAATGGAAGTGCTATCTATCATTCGGGGTGAACTTGGTTAAAAACGTAATTTGATGGAAAGAAAATAGCAGAAAATTATTAGAGGGTTTCCAAGATTCTAGGCCTAGCCTTCCCAGTTCCAACCTTGAAAATTGAGAGAAGGCTGGGGAAGGGAAAGAAGGTAGGAAGGATGGAAGCTTCTTCCTCCACTCCTGATCTCTGTTGCATTATTTGATGATGCAAAAACAGCAGCTGGTTTAAGTGAGGTGGTTCTTACTTCTTCTCCAATCTCTTTTCCGATAGCTTAATACAGCTCATCCGTCTAGAGAATAACCCCTCCCCTCCATCTCCTCCCTTATCCCTCCAAACCCTAACATTTTTTTTTAAAAAAATATCCCTCTATCTAACCTCCTTTGTTGTTGTCATCAATCTCTGTAACTATTTCTATTTCGCATCTTCCAATTCACCGCCCCACGTTAGCCCTCATTGGTTAAAGTGATCTGATTGGTTGACCTTTACGTGTATTATAGAAAAAGCCTTTTTATTTTCGTTTTCTTAACCTGACTTTTTCTCTATTGTTCTTTTTTTTCGGATATGAATACCGATCTGGGTTCGAGTCGCTTTGATGTTATTCGGAGACTATGATGATTTCGGATCCAAATCTGGTATATTACGCTTGCGTTGCAAAAGGCACCACAATTATTGCTGAGTTCAATTCCGTTGGCTTAGGATCAAATGGCCAATAAAACAAACCACCACTTTCTGTTTTCACCCATACGGTCCGCAACAGGACCTACACATTCTTTATTGAAGATCCTTTTGCTTATTTTGCCATATTTGATGAAAAATCTTGAGAACTCCGAAGGGTTGGCTTTTCTGAGAGTGTCAAGGACGCCTTCAATGAGGTTGCTGGAAGCAGTTCTGCTAAGAAAAGGTTGCAGAAGTTGTCTTCTCACTGTTTTCAGGGCGAATTTAGCCCTGTTTTTCATCATCTGTTGACCGCATATGCGGATATGGGGGGGATCCATTCTCCTAATTCAGGGTTGAAACTTAGTCTTGGCTGGAACGGAAGCATGGATTCCTCCAGAGGAGGGCCCGTTGGGAGGCCGTTGTTGGGCACTGCCAAGAGCTTGATGAAGAAAAAGAAGAAGTTTTGGTTACGTGATTGTATGGGTGGCTCTGCTGCAAATGCCAAAGATGCCTCTCCGGATGGGGGGCAGCAGCTGGATTGAGCAGGGAGTTTACAGTGGTGATGCACAAGAATGGACTGCATTCTGGGGAATTGGGACAACAGAAGGCTAAGGTAGTCTGGAAAAAGCATGTTTGGGTGGTGTTGTCAATGGACTTGATCATTTGTACTATCTTGTTTGTTGTATGGTTGTGCATTTGTGGGGGTTTCAAATGCGTTGATGCGTGAAACTGGAATCTTCATTTGGAAGCAATCGTGATCATGAATTGGGTGTTTTTTCATCTATATTGATGTTCCCATCTGTCTTGATTGCTTTACTACTAAGTGGACGAAGGAATTTGGGCTTCAATAAAAGTGGATCAATCAGGAACTTTTTAGCCGAGATGTTTGGCAGACTATTTTGGCAGAGTCAGCTGTAATTATAATCTCTGTCTCTTGTTGCTGTGGTTCAAATGTTCAAGCTCAAGCTCAAGCTGGTATTGCATTTGGATTTCTTTTTTGAAATTCATAAACTCTTTAATTTTTATCTGTCTTTAGTATGCAGATATGAATCCGTATATTCTCTTGTGCATGTTGTAATGTGTATGTGCCTATACTTAAGATACTTGCATGCTACAAATGTAGTGTTCTTTATGGACGTCTTCGCATTTGTGCATTAGATTGCGGTATGGTTGCTTGTAATGAAATCTTTACATCATTTCCTGTATGGACTTGAATCAGAAAGCCACAAGTTTGTTAAATGACAATGACAAGCAAGAAGTTCTCAGATGAGAATTGATGTCATTTTTCCAGCTTTTGATGAATTTGAGCTATGCATTAAGTGAAAGCATGTCCTATATACCAATCATAAACTGCTTTCACTATATCAAGAACATCTGCGTTTCAGAAGTGTGAATATTTTCTGCAATACTGTGGTATTCTATTTTTAGAACCAGGATTAGTCAGAAAAATTCAGTGTCCCTTAACTGAATCTATGCTTAACTAATATTTGTTGAAGTTTCTTTTGAATCTGATTGACGATGCCATTGTGGTTTCAGAAATACCAAACATTTGATTTGATGGAATCAAGAGAAAAGATAGGAATAGGAGGAATCGGGTATTTGTGTTCGGATTAATGCTGATGGTGGAAAAGGGTAGGAGATGGAGGAAAGCTGCTTAACAATTAGTACTAGTTTCTGTTCTCTTCTTTCCTTATAATCTGCTTTCCAACAATGTATTGGCTTTCCTTTGTTTCGTTCCATATCAAATCCAAAAGTGAGTTGATAGTCATTTTTCTCAAAATTGTGTTGTGTTGATAACAAATAAACTTCGTCTTGCTCTTTCCAGACCCAATTCAGTAT